GTATTGATATCAATTCACGTGATCCTCCCACATCCTCTGTTTATGCATATTTGCACGGTGACACTACGCGACGCGTTCCTGGAATGACATTGCACCTTTCTTCGCCAGCCTAACTGCTAATATCACACAACCGAAAGTTATCGTCACACCTGCTATTCTCCGCCATCCTTGCAAGTCTATTGCTATTATCATATCCTAATTGCTGGTAATGCCTCATTCCACTGGCGTGCACGATACCCCGGACTTTCTAGCGGACGCGAGACACGAACCATACACAGATATGTCTCTATCTTCGGAAGAGCCAGATATTTTGATCTCTCCACCACGCTCTCCTAGTAGACTTGATTTCTTTCATGAAGAAGGCGGCGCTCTTGGTTACTCTGAATCAGATGCAGACGCAGAACTACCGATTTCAAGGGTCAAATGGGCACGCGGCTTCTTCCGTAGCGGCCCAGCACTCGCGAAGTTCACGAAGAGGATGAGGACGATCCTCTCATCGGTATACCGATCCTCCAAATGAATGACCCCAGCATCAATTCCCAGACAGACTTCGAAGACGAGCCCCCATGCGTCCCATTCCCACCTTCACTTCAGACAGTCACCATGGAGCCTTTGGCACCAGAACCTGTTCGCCATGCTACACTTCCACAAGAAACAAAGGTGCAAATCCCAACTCCTGTGTCACGTATCCACACGCAGCGCCTGAACTATCCTCACCGCGGCTTTTCACGGAGTGCTTTGTTACATCAAAAATCTTTCTGGACAGCGCGCCATGATGAATGGTTGGAATGGCAGGCCAAAGAAGTTAAACGACGAATGGACCACGGTATATGCGCACAAGGCCCTGGAAGCGCGTATGCTGGCATTACACCCGCAGAAACTCAGGAAGTCTCTGGGCTACCATCACAAATCCGCGTGCCTCTATCTGGCTTGGAGCGTGACTTTGAGGGGTACGCATCGAGAGACTTTGCCCAGGACTTGAACGCGCCGATCTACCCTCGCGTGGGCGATATCTCGGCGCTTCGTGATCCATACTCTGCCGATGTCGACCGGTGCTTCTTCAAGTTTCCGCTGTGGACCATTCATAAGACGCTCTATGTGTTCGACATGCATCAAAGGGCAGTCCATATTTCCGACCAGATACAAGGTTCTGCATCCTCAGGAAGCTTGCAGTCGTCGACTGGTTCAACGACATGCGATGATGAGGATGTGACCCTTGTTGCTGACGATGAACCACCCTTCGAGAAACAAACGCTCGACAACGGGTCTCATCAAGAATGTCTACCACCTGAAACTCCAAAAAGATCTCCGCCGTGTACATGGGAGGCTATTCGCGCCTGGGAGCTGAACTGGTACGCTCGCTGGGAGCTACTTATTGGTCTCGTACAGCGCGACCAAGCCCTCCGCCAGGCAGCGCCGCTTCGCCCGTCAATAACTCCCTCCCGATTCGTAGATGAAGACCCTTCACCGCCAAAAGGACTCCTGGAAGCGTTCACCCCAAAAGCTCCCGCACCGATAATCCACTTTGCTGGCGAAGATGGAGAGGGGGATAACGGAGACGAAGAAGACGATTATGGTACCTTGGTTGCAAACCCGATTTACAACGTTGACGAGACGTTCAAGGAGGGATATCGCCGTGCAGTAAATTTTTTCACTAAAGATCGAGGGCTGAAAAGAGAGCGTCGCCTGCGAACAGTGTCTGGATAGAAAGTTAAGGATGGTCGTTTGCACCGAAGTCAACGAGGATGGGAATGTTTTCACCTTATATACAGTTCCCTAGTTTTGTCGATCCATATTATAGCCCGATACCCTGATCGTAACGGCGCCGGCGCCAGCCTCCGACTCGCTTAGTATTCCTGGCATGTTTGTGTCTATCGAATTAAACGCAAACTAGCCCTTTTATTTTATTGTGCGTTGGTTGGCAATGGTTGCTAATCCTATTTGATTCTACTGTCAATGCAAGATGTTCTTCAACTCGTACTACGGCCATCTATATCAACCAGTCTTAGCCAAGTGGTAAGCGTAACCAAGAGGTGTGCAAAACTAGAATATCGGATATACACCCGGAGAAACTTCAGAGCCCCCCCCCCCTACTGTCACGGCGTGACGATCACCGCAATTATACCATATTAGGTAGCTTAGTCACGCACTCTCAATGCAAACAAAGTCCTAGTATTGACGCGAGGGAGGAGCAAATGAGCGCGAGTAAGCTACAAATACGTGAACGGGCACTTCGGAAAACACGTAGCCAAGCAAACCCAAGTGTCGATAGTGAATGGTAGGCCATCCTGGCCATCATGGTAACGTTCCCATGGAAAGAGCATGACCAAAGGACGCATATCCTCTGGCCAGATGATTGGGACTCCTGCGCAAAGGTTATAATCAAGGGAGGGCCCGGGAGGCGGTTGACTGTAAGCGAGCAACATTTATATTACATGTATAGAATTTAAAATGAAACGCACCTGTTTTGATGTGAGAATGCCACGAGTGAACGAGGGGTTGGCTCATCAGACACGTTCCGAACATGCTGCTTTTGTTTATTAGTCACGGTCTGGGCGCACTTCTTACTGCCGCGGTGGTTCCTCAATGGTATAAATTTGGCCTTCGATCCAGAGTGCAATGGAGGAGTGAGTACTCGTTTGGCACCATTCATCACAATCTGGGCAAAGTATGGCCCATCTCTGCTGAGGGCCGACCTGGACTTTGAGTTTTCCTGCCTTGAATAATCGATAGAGTGAGTCTGCAGTATTTAATTTAAGTTCGAGCGCTTCGTCGATATTGGTGAAGTCCGTTTCGATGATAGGAGGCTGCCAGTTGAGCGGATCACGATCCTCATTATCAGACGTATTGACCGAGTAACCAGAATCATAGTCAGGAGAATAAGGTGCATAGTAGCATGTATCGGATTCTGGTTCTGGTTCTTGCATGTGATGGTATTTCGAAGTCTATGAGAGGGCTTTGCGAGTGTCCGGATGAATGCTGGGTATCGAAAAACTGTGAAGGATGATTGGATCTCGGTTCCGTAGTTTGATATGAATAATGGTCATTATGCGGCGTGCTGTCATGATGCTGTTGGATGCTGTTATACAGATTGTGCTGGTTTGAATACATAATGAATAAGTCTATAGTTTTAAGAGAGTACAAGTGGTGGTGCGATGCGACAGGGATACATATGAGACGCGACGCGTATATTGATATCGACGCGTTAATTATATAAATCACGTGGCTAGTTTTTTTGCTTCAAAATCACTCGGTAGTAGGGCAGCGTCATCCCACAAGCGAGTTTTATTAAACTGTCTATCTAAATGTATTCTAGACGAGAAAAAACCCCTCTTCCAGTATCGAGTTAACGATTTTATGCAACTCGGAAGTCACCATCGAGAACCTCAGATACAGTGCTCTCGAAACTTCGTGTGGCTATGTTTTAAGGTTTTAAGCTTATGTAAAGTTGAGCCCTATGTTCGGGATTTTGCGAACGCACACCTCTTGAGCGTAACAGGACAGAAATCAGTTGCAGGTTCGAAACCCGCTCGATAGTGTTTTTCTTTTTACCACGCTTTGAACGTTGAATATTCACTCATGGATGGATCCTTCAAGGTGTGTCTTATGTAGCCATGGCCAACTGGCACCAGGACAGATTAGAAATCTGCTCTCTTGAGTGGTGCAGGTTCGAAAGCTGCCGACAAATGTCTTCATTCATTCATGGACAGTCCTTCAGAAGTTCACCTCAGCTTTGGCCAAAGTGGTCGCCACAACAGAATCGAAATCTGTTTTCTCTTGGACTGCGCAGGTTCGAAACCTGCCGACGAGACGGTTAATTTCTTTTTCTCTCGGAACACATCTTGACATCGACTCATGGATGATTTCGTCGAGGATCATCTCATCTTCGTCCTGGCTGAAGTGGTTGCCCCAGCAGAATTTAAATCTGTTTCTCTTGAACTGCGCAGATTCGAAACCTGCCAACGACAGGGTTTTTTTTCTATTGGAACACGCATTGACATTCACTCATGGACAGTTCCTCGCACGCTCATCTCAACTTCGTCCTGACCAAAGTGGTTGCCACAACGGAATCAAAATCTGTTTCTCTTGGCCCGCGCGGATTCGAAACCTGCCGACGATAAGGTTTTTATTCCATCGGAACACACCTCATCCTTCATCCATGGATGATTTCATCAGAGGTTCATCCAACTGGTCATAGCCAAGTGGGTTACCGGAGTCAAAATCTGTTTCTCTTGGAGTTGGTTCGAAACCTGCTGACAACATTTTTGCAGTGTATAGATCCTCGGAGGTCCATCTTAACTTAGTAGGCCTAGTCATTGCGCCGAAACCCCATTTTTATGTGAGTCTGTTCCATGATGAAAAGGAATTTACCTTCACGCCTTATGGGGGTCATCTCAGAAACATAAGATATATCCCGTATGTGCCGACCTAGATTCTCGACAGGCTGACTAAAACTCTTGGAATTCATCGCCAAACAAAAAAGGGCCGGAGGCCAGGAGAATGCACACAAGCTAAGGACAGAGTGAGTCTGACCGTCAGGGAAATGATGCAAACCTTGCCCCTCCCACCTTTAGCTTTCAAGTCATCCTCGCTCACATTTGAAGAGGTTAACGGCCGAAGGAGTGTCCATTGATACGCGGGCCTACTATGATAGTCTCTTCTAAATTCTAATTAAACAATAATTGTGTAGTTAGCATTGGGTAACCGGTAACCTACAGGGAACTTGTCAAAGTGAGGACAATAGACGAATGTGTACATGTAAGCTGATTGATACCAAGGTGAAGAAGGAAATGTAGTCCTTTGTCTGATCTACACAAGAATTGATGAGGGGTGTACGTGATTGTCACTGATCTTGGGGTATCCTTTAATCGACTGATAACGAGCGACGAAGTTGGTCGATTCGGATGGGTATATGCCTTGTTACAATGTGTTACTTCCTCCATCCCTGTTTCCTCCCCCTCTGATTCAGAAGTGTTTGAATGTGACCGCGACGAGAATGAGAGCGTCTGCGAGGGTTCCCGGACCAGGAGGGTTATGGTTCATGTGCCATTCGTGTGATTTGCGCTGCCTGCGGCTCTGTACAATTTCTGGTGCTTGCGGCTCGGCAAGGCACTCAATTCCTCATGCGACAACTTTGACAGAGGCGATGATGCTAATAGTAGCAAGTCTGAGGGCGTGGTAGATTGGCACTGCATGACGTGGTAAACATTAAGTATTTGCAAACTCAAGGGGTGGCGGATTTTTTACTCACCACCATCATGAGGGCAACGGTAATGATGAGTTCGCTGGTGAAGAAAAACCCCTGATGAACTTGAACTCGGTGAAGATGCCCGTCGGTGAACGGGTATGTAGAGTCCGGAAGATGACGACATCACTAACGCGACGAGGGAGGCGGGTTACTAGAGCAGACTTGGTACTAGATGAGGACGCGGAAGATGATATTGATCAAGTCCTGACTTGAACAAGGTCTTATATATACACACAGGAGCATCCTGCGGACCTGCCCATGCATGGGCCCGAGGCTCGGCAGTTGGTTATTGTGTGACATTACTGTTGTCGTGCCGTGAAGTGGCAGTGATGACTCATCCACTTGGACCGCAGCGTCAGCTATTTGGGACCATCTGGAATGTCGTGGAATGTCGTACAAAGTGGCGAGAAAATACGCTCAAATTATCTCGAATGGTCTCAGTCATGCATAGGCTTATTGCACAATATTGGTCATCGTCGTTCAGTGAGCCCGTGTGATTTCTAATTATTAATTGCCGATTTGACAACTCCATAGCCCCAACTTCCCGTATTTGTAAATCACTAGGAACTCTGTTAGAACCATGTAAGTACCACAGGATGCCAGCACTTCAGGTGCACTGGGCAGCTTTGGGGCAGCTTGGCATGTGGAAATTAAGATGATCTTCAATGCTGCGGCATGAAGAGGCCTGCGGCGGCTAGCGTGGCAGTGCCAGAGAATGTCCTGAAAGCATCCATATGAGTATTCGTTTGATAGTTACCTGGTTAGAAAAACCCAGAATGCCGCAGTCACGGGTGGAGAGCTTTAAACGTATCGAACGTTCAATGCAACCTTGCTTTTGTACTTCGAGTGATGAAACAATAGATTTCGCTGCAGTATATATCTATGACTAAAGGTCTTCGTATGCGAGCGGATATATGCGACATTCTTGTCCGCCATCTATATTTATCAGAACTCCGAGTCAATCAGTCAAATTTCTTCTGAAGCCTATCTACACAATCCGTAGCCTGATCTAATTCCCTGGTTTGATAGCGACACCAAAGTCTAACGCAAATCTGCCCATAGCATCGGAGATCGATCGATCATTAGTTAGCTTATCTCGTGGGGAATATATACTTTCACCCCAACAGTCCCCGGGTTCTTTTGGAATAGTCGTCCACCAGAACGACATCGGCTTGACCTTTGTCAAGGATTCTGTTTGGGCGGCCTTTGCCATCGGTGATTGAGCCGACAGCCCCAACAACAAGGTTGTCCCCAACAGCTTGTTTGACTGCCTGTGTGAACGGTGCCTGGTAAGCTGGGCTGGCTTTGATGATGGCTTTTGGGTGACTAGCACCGCTGGAGACATCGAGAAAGTCAACTCCATCTTGCTCAGAATACCAGTAAGTTCGGTATCTTCGACACGCCATGATGGTTTGTTGGAAGCGCTTGTTTGAGCTATTCAGTTGCAGAAACCCTACGAAGTATCAATCAGTTTAAGCAAGGACATCTCATGGACTCGAAAATAATGCCTCAAAAAAGAGTGGCATATCTTGAGGCATGGAATCATAGATGGCATTCATGACCTCGAGAATTAAACGAATGCGGTTCTCAAAGCTTCCACCGTATTCGTCTGTGCGCGTGTTGCTGATGGGACTCAAGAAAGAGAACAGCAGATAGCCGTGTATGTTGTGAATTTCAATGACGTCAATGCCAGCTTTCAACGCTCTCTTCGTAACTTCCACAAATGCGACGACGACCGCCTTGATCTGTGTCTTCGATAGCTCCTTAGGCACCGCGAAGGCGTCATCGAAAGAGGGCCCCATACACTGTCTAGCCATCTGCCTGTGTTCTTAGTTGCTGCAAGACTCGTATTTAACCACGGCACAACGGTGGGTGCTTTCCGGCCGGTGTGGGCAACTTGAATACCGATCTTTTGGTTTTATGAATTGGACAAACTCACTATCTTGCGGAGGGGCTTCTGCGTCATCAGGAGTGATGCGACCCTTTGGGACGACCGCTGTGGCTTCAATCATAGAAAGACTAGTCCCCGCGTGAAGATCCCGTCACTGAATACCACGAGCATTTCTTAGTGCTCGATATCATAAACTTACGGTGCGCCATATGCCAGGACGTGAGATGACCGTTGTCTGCAGAATATTGAACAGTGGAGATAGCTGCGTGAAATTGGGATGAGCCATCAGGGGAGCCCATCGTCGCGTTAACGATCAATATGACGACTGACGAAGATACAGTTGTGGAATGTCGCCCCCTCCGACCTTGATGGGCCGGAATACCTTTGGTATAGGAGTTCCATCGAGCTAGGGGTCAAATGCTTTGCGTAGCGGTAAAAGTATGGAATGGCGGGTACATGCTTGTGTGCTGAAGACTGGATGTCAAGGAGTAAGTAATAATTAAGTGTGTACGGGATGCCTTCCGTATCTTCCAGGCATTATATCCAACTGGCACCCACCTGGTATTATCTCAGGTTGATCTCACTGAATGATTCGGCGTGAGATACAATGGCAAGAAGCTTGTTGATGATAACGAAGTTTCAATAAAAAAATATGATGACGTGAGGCTACAAATACAAAAAAAATAACCTGTGTTTGCTACATAAAAACGGGAGATCAAACTAGAAAGGAACACTGCATACCACGTACATCACTCCCATCCTTTCGATTACGTTCCTTTCAACCAGTT